ATCATGTAGATATGGTCGATGGTGCTGAATCCTTTGCGAAACCCAGCTTGCTTGCATGGTTGTCCTCCATCTAGTGTTCTGCCAATCCTATTCAGGATGATTCGCGTGAACAGCTTGTAGATGACAGGCAGATTTGGCGATAGTTGCCAACGTCGTGGATGTCTCCCTTCTTATACAGCAGTACAGTCCTGCTGGTTTTCCATTGGGATGGAACCTTGCATTCAGACAGGTAGTGTGTGAAGAGCCGAGCAAGCGTATTGATGAGTACTGACGGCAGGTTCTTCAGGTGTTCAGGTCTGACCTTGTCTGGGCCGGGTGCTGTTCATTTCTCTACCAAGAAATGGCGTGTCAGATTTCAGAAGGGAGAACATTGGGAACAACATATCCATCCTGCAGAATTTGGTATGTCAGCAGGTGGACATGGCTATCAAAGAGATCTAGAAGTCATGGATAATCTTCTCCATTGCCCTTCTGGAAGATGTGATAGATCCATCAGGATGTCGGAGGGCAGTCATCTTAGTCTTGTAGTTGGTGAAGGACAGGCGGGTGTTACGATACTTTTTCCAGCTTCTGCTGCATCTACCAGCACTTCTGCTCTTCTCTCTTTGAGGTCTTCCTTGATTGCATCTCTGCACTGCTTTGCAAGCTCAGACGTTCACTTGCGGTTGCCTGAGGCATGCACCAAACCACTTTGTCGAATGAGCTCAAGAGTTTTCGAAGACAGGCTTTTTTTGTGGTTATCTCTCTCTTGGCGTTCCTTGCACAATAATGGAGGTGCTGAACCAGTCATATATTAACTTATTCCAAACCTTTGATCCTAAGGCAAGGGGCAAAGGCCTACAGTATACTGAAGCTAACAAGTAAATACTGTTACAGTTTAAAATTTAATTGCCTGCTGGGGGAAAAAAGTGGGGAAGGGCCTCCACAGCAATGTCCTGGGATCCAGAGGCACAGAGATTCCTCATGGATACACTGAACCCATGATGCACAACTGATGGTTCATTGCTAGGGCCCATATTTGATCTCTGGTACCCTATATGGTCCCTCAAGTCCACCAAGAGTAATCCCTGAGTGAAGAACTAGGGGTAAATTCTAAGCACCGTTGGGTGTGGCCCCAAACAAAGACAAACAAAAAGATTAAAAATAGAACTAAGGAATGATAGAGCTAAATATCCAAACCACAGAGTCAACAATGCTGAAATCACAAGACCTAAACTTTAATAACCAAACCTAAAAGATGCCTGTCAAGATAGCAGACTGGGAGCTGAAGTGATAGCACAGCAGGTAGGGCATTTGCCTTGCACGCAGCCAACCTGGGTTCGATTCCCAGCATCCCATATAGTCCCCCGAGCACCGCCAGATGTGACCCCCCCCAAAAAAGAAAAGATAGCAGACTGTGGGGGTAGGGGGAAAAGGCGGGAGGGGTGGACAGTGTGCAGGGGAGTTTACGAGATGGTACCTGGGAACACTGGTGGAGGAAAGTTGATGTTGGTGGAGAGATCAGTGATGGCACATTACATGCCAAAAAAAACCTAACTATGAATAACTTTGTAACTCCTGGTGCTTTAATAAAATATAACTTGGAAAAAATAATTAAAGAATAGAATTATAATATAATCCAGAAATTTAACATCTAGATATCTTGATTAGATAATTGCACACCTGTGTTTATTGTTCACAATAGCCAAGAGATGGAAGAAACCAATGATGGGTAAATTGACAAAATGAGGCATATATATGCAATTGGATAGTTTTCAGCTTTTCAAAAAAAAAAGGAGATTCTGTCACTTTACAGCATAGGTGCACATTAAGGACAACAAGTTCTAAATTCTATATGATTCTAGCTTTATAAGATATCTAAGTAGCCAAAATTTACATAAATACAAAATAAAATTGTAGTTTACAGGGGTTAGAGGAAGAAGTAAACACACAGTTTGTAGCTCAATGGGAACAGAGTCAGTTTTATGGGATGAAAGAGTTCTAGATCTACAAAAGGTAAGTACAGTTAGCACTATTGAACTATATACTTAAAAACATGTAAGATGGCAAAAATTAACCTAGAGAGACAGGGGTAGGGCACTTGCCTATTATGTGGCCGACCTGATTTCAATCCCTGGTACCAATGGTCCCATGAGCCCCACCAGTAGTGATCCCTGAGTGCAGATCCAGGAGTAAGCCCTGAACACTGCCAGGTATGGCCCAAAAACCAAAAACAAAAGAAAAAAGATGATAAATAATATGTTTTATTCTCTTTCCTATTCTTCCATTTATTCTATTGTCTTCCTTGATCGCATCTCTGCACTGCTTTGTGAGCTCGGACGTTAGCTTGCGGTTGCCTGAGGCATGTGCCAAACCACGCTGGCGAATTAGCTCAAGAGTTTTCGAAGATAGGCGATTTTTTGTGGCTATCTCTCTCTTGGCGTTTCTCGCACATACATGGAGGTGCTGAACCAGTCGATCGTATTCCTCGTCAATGTTGTCAACAATGCCATCTTCCCATGTTGCCGCAATAGTACCAAAGAGTTCCCAGTTGGTGGTCATTCTGGGAGTTCTCTTTTTGAACTTTGCGGCCCTTTCTCCCCTCTCTGTGAAGTAGAATTTTGCACGAAGGAGACGGTGGTCCGATCCCGTTCGAAATTTTGGGACAACAGCGACATCAGTCAGGCAAAACCATCGATTGAATATGATGTGGTCTATTTCGTTGTGGAATCGTCCACCGGGAGACTCCCATGTCCATCGTTTAGATTCTGCCTTCTGGAACTGTGAGTTACCATGAATGGTCTTGGTCGACATGATGAACTCAGACAGTCTCTCACCCTGTTCTCAAAGAGAGAAGAGCAGAAGTACTGGTAGATGCGGCAGAAGCCGGGAAAAGTATTCGTAACGCCCGCCTGTCCTTCACCAACTATAAGACCAAGATGACTGCCCTCCGACGTCCTGATGGATCCATCACATCCTCCAGAACGGCAATGGAGAAGATTATTCATGACTTCTACTCAAATCTCTTCGATAGCCATGTCCACTTGCCGACATACCAAATTCCACAGGATGGATATGTCGTTCCCAACGTTCTCCCTTCCAAAATCCGACACGCCATTTCGTCGGTAAAGAAACAAACAGCACCCGGCCCAGACAAGGTCAGACCTGAACACCTGAAGAACCTGCCGTCAGTACTCATCAATACACTGGCTCGGCTCTTCATTCGCTACCTGTCTGAATGCAAGGTTCCGTCCCAATGGAAAACCAGCAGGACTGTACCACTGTTCAAGAAGGGAGACATCCATGACATTGGCAACTATCGCCCGATCTGCCTATTGTCTGTCATCTACAAGTTGTTCACTCGAGTCATCCTAAATAGGATTGGCAGAACACTAGATGAAGGACAACCATGCGAGCAAGCAGGGTTCCGCAAAGCATTCAGCACCATCGACCATATCCACACAATAACCAAGCTCATTGAGGTTTCTTGGGAGTTCAAAATGCCACTCTGTTTAACATTCATTGATTTAAAGAAGGCCTTTGATTCTGTTGAGACGGAAGCGGTCATTGAAGCCCTAGCCAATCAGGGCATTCAAGCCCAATACATCAGGATCCTCCGTGAGCTGTATTGCGGATTCACTACCAGGATCTCACCATTCTACAAAGAAGTGATCGTTGATGTCAAGAGAGGGGTGCAGCAGGGTGATACCATTTCACCGAAACTCTTCAGTGCCACCCTCGAGAACATCATGCGACGACTGGAATGGGAAGGAATGGGAGTAAAGATAGATGGTCGGCAACTACACCACCTCCGCTTTGCTGATGACATTGTTTTAATAACACCAAAAATCAGCCAAGCGGCACAAATGCTAGCCGACTTTGACCGTGAGTGTGGAAAGGTAGGACTACAGCTGAATCTTACGAAGACAATGTTTATGAGAAACAGCCTTGTTCCTGACGCCCCATTCGCTCTCAATGGAACAACCATCTCCGAATGCAACAGCTATGTGTACCCAGGTCGAGAGGTCAACATGACAAATGACCTGGCACCCGAGCTGCGCAGGAGGAAGAGAGTGGCTTGGAACGCCTTCAAGAACGTCAAAGAAATAGCTAAGAGGAGAAGAACCTCCGGCTCCGGGCACATCTCTTTGATTCCACTGTTCTTCCTGCATTAACATATGCCTCAGAGACCTGGGCCCTAGGCAAACAAGATAAGAACGCTATTCAGGTCTCCCAAAGAAGAATAGAAAGAGCTATGCTTGGAATATCACGTTTCACTCAAATGAGAGAAAGAATCCGGAGTTCTGACATCCCTTGACGATCAAGGATCAGGGACGCTGTCTCATTTGCCAAGGTGTCGAAAATCAGATGGGCTGGTCATGTAATGAGATTTAAAGACCACCGTTGGACTAGAGCTGTTACTGACTGGATTCCACGGGATGTCAAAAGACCGCGTGGCCGCCCACCTACCAGATGGTCAGACTTCTTCGTCAAGATCATGAATGATCGGTTTGAGGCCCTTCATGTTCCCGGAGCGAACAGATGCCATTGGGCTACACTAGCACGCGACAGGGACAAATGGAGATGTTACTGGCGCCCACTCGAGCAAATCGACGACTAACGGGAAGTTAAGTGATTAAGTGATTATTCTATTGTCAATTCAATATATACACACACAAAAAATTTGATAAAAGATGAGTGCTCTGCTCTTCTCTTTTCTCTGCATTGCTCTATAGCAGGTACATTAGTTTCAATTTCAAAAAATGAGGCAAAATTTAGAAGCTATAAAATTAGTCTTTTAATTATGGAAAAATATTTCTAACAATTAAGAAGTATAGGGTTACTCTACCAGGCAATAATCTAATATATCTGAGTGTTCAACACCAACAGAATTAAATGTGAAATTATTTTTAATAATGAAATTATTAATCCCAAATTTATGATTAATGTACCAAAAATGATCTTAAATTAAGGAAGGCAAAAATAAGAAACAACACACACTTATATGTACATATTTTCTTTACTAACCAATAAACAAAAACAGCAAGAAAACATCTCATAATGAATAATTTATATCATTAAGCAAAATTCTACTCTACAGTTTCCTTGAACTGATTTTCCATCAACTTCATCAAACACTACTTCTTCTCTTCTCTTTGGATGAAAAGCCATATAATAAACAACTAGAAAAATAATCCCAAAGATATAAGCAAGAACTATAGTGATAGTAATAGGTACAAAGTACTCTGTATTAAAAATAGAAAGTGGGTAAAACCAGAACACAATTAATATCCCAAAAGTGACCAGTATCCTTACAATATAATAACAACACATTGAACATTTGGTATTCTCTCCCTTAATATTAAAATATGTAAAGATAAGAATAAACCCAACAACAGTCCTATATAAGTATTCCATAAGTGTGGAAGAACAAAACTGAGTTTTCATTTTAAATGCCCACAATATTCCTAAAAACCAAAGAATTGACAACAACACTAAAGCGATCTTAACATCTAAGAATAAAAGTAGTACAATACTCAGCATCCAAGACGATAATGTAAACAACTTGTAAAAGAGATATATAACTCTGGAACTCCATCCACTAAGAAGATTTTTATGAGGTAAGGAATTTCTTAAAGCTATTTGATAGTCAACAGTTGACAAGGAAATGGCAAAGCAAGAGACTATGATGGCTGCACCTACAAAACAAACAAAAGCATACTGTTAAAATAATGACATTAAACTACCAAATGTCTTACATATGTGTATACACACACACACACACACACAAAACTTCATCTAATCCCTTGATAGATTGCTATTTTATATAAGAGAAAACTTATGCTTACATAATATATATTATTTTACATGTCACACAGCTAGTAAATTGTGAAGGTGAGATTTGAACTAATTTTTGTATTCTAAAATTAATGTACATTTAAACCCACATTAGAATCCCTAGTAAGATTCTGAATAATTCACTGAATAAATTTTATAGAAAAACTATAAAATTTTCTCTATAGTGGAAACTGCATGGTCAAAGAGAATACAGTTAAGTTCTAGTTTTTCTACTCTTTTAAATTTGATCTTTGACATATATCTAACAGTCTAGAGAAAGAGAAATAAATGAAAGAAGAGAGGGAACAAAGATAAAACAAAATTTAACATAACACAAAGAATTTATAACTTTAATTTCCATATCTTTAGATGGTCAAATGAACAAAGATGCTCTAAAATAATCAATTTCTATGCACCTGAAATCTTTTTAAAATTAATCTCTATACAGTTTTTCAAATGCCATTTTATAAAAGAACTCTCTTTTCTATACTGCATGGTCTTAAACCCTTTACCATAAACACTGATAAATGTGATGGTTTAAGGGTTTTTTTATTCTTTTATTTGTTCATGTGTCTGTTTTGATTCTTATACCATGCAGTTTGAAATAAATGCATTATAGCACTGCAGGTAAGGCATTTGCCTTGCATGTGGCCGACATGGCCGAACCCAGTTCGATTCCTCCACCCCTCTCAGAGAGCCCAGCAAGCTACCAAGAGTATATCGCCGGCACGGCAAAGCCTGGCAAGGTCCCCGTGACGTATTCAATATGCGAAAAACAGTAACAAGTCTCACAATTTGTTGTGAGATGTTACTGATGCCCGCTCAAGCAAAATCGATGAACAAGAAGAGGACAGTGACAGTGACAGTGTATAAAGTCATAACATAATGCTTCCAGTTTTCTTTTTCTTCCTCAAGGTGACTATTGTATTCAGGTCTATTTTAATTCTGTCTATCCATTTACATGGAATGTCATTCTATCTCTTTCATCTTCCTTACACATTTCATTTTTGCATAAGTACTAAGTACTTTTAAGTTTAATTGTTTTTGTCAAGATGAGGGGCTTTTTTTTGTTTGTTTGTTTTTGTTTTGGTTTTTTTTTGTTTTTGTTTTTGTCAAGATGAGGGGCTACTCTTGGTTAACATGAGGCCCAGTGGTATGGCCCTAATGGTTCAGCACTCCACTCCTGTGCTACAGGCAATCAGGGCTAAACTAGAAGTGCTCAATCAGCCAGGCGCTGTTAGGGACTGAACCTGGGGTTCCCACTAGCAAATCATACACTCCACCCCTTTGACTTATTTCCTAGAATAGTTGCACTTTTTAGAAGTTTTGTTTCAGGGGTTTTGCTTTGGGTTTTTTGTCTGTTGTTTTGGTGAGCCCAGCAAGCTACCGAGAGTATTTCGCCCCCACGGCAAAGCCTGGCAAGCTACCCGTGACGTATTTGATATGCCAAACACAGTTACAACCAAGTCTCACAATCGAGACGTTACTGGGCCCGCTCAAGCAAATCGATGAACAATGGAAGGACAGTGACAGTGACAGTTGTTTTGGTTTGTTTGACTAACCAAAGATGTGAATTTTCGTTATAAATTACATTTTATATCTTTCTCAGAGACTCACCAAAAAGGTTATATTCCTTTTGGTCAATTAGAAATGGAAAGTGCTGTTGATGAGCTCACTTTTACTGCTTTTCTCTTTTTTAAGGTGAGTTTAGGAAAGCATGAAGGTAGAAAGGAACCAGAGCAGTAGGACAAAGTGCTGAAGTGTATGCCATGCACTTGCATGAACCTGAATTCAATCGCTAAAATCACCAGTCCTTCTTCCTCCACTAACACAACAGGCATAACTATCAAGCACCATGGCTGGCAAGTACTCTGACGCAGGACCTCAGCACCATTGGGCCTGAATGCTTAAATGTAGAGCCTACACCACAGAGCTGAATATAGCCAGGAGTGACCCCTGAGTCTCGAACCCAGCTGAGGAGTCCCCGATAAAAAGCAGTATCATTCTGAATTATTCTGGCCATCAAAGCGATAATGATTACTATAAAAATTTAGAAATTTTATAAAAGCAAAAAGATGAAATCAAATCACATATAATCCCACTAGCCAGAAACATCCAGATATTTTAATTACAGATGTTTCCATATACAATGATTTGTTTGTATCCTTAAAAGTGTGCTGACAGAAAAGTTTACAAAGTGCTAGTTCCCTGTTTTACTTTTCAAATTTGTGTCAATGAAGTTGTAAACACCGTATCTAGATGCTACATAATTTTATACTGTCTAAAATAACACTGATCATTTTTTCTACTTTTAATTCATAATTATTTCTTTGTTTTTGTTGACGGGGGTCGAGGAGGGGTATGGAGAGGGAGCAACACCTAAAAGTACTCAGAAATTAGTCCTGGCTCTATGCCCAGAGGCCATGCCTGATGGTAGTGAACCATGAGGTGTGAGAGATTCAACTAGAGTTAACCATAGTTGGCCCTTTTGGTATTATTTAACCAACACTTCAAGTTTTTAGCATGTGTGTAGTTAGTGATAGGATAAAAGACCTCATGCATGCAAGGAATATATTCCACTACTGAGTCATATTCACAGCCCAACAACCCAACTTCCTTACTTCAGGAAGAAATTAAAGGAGGAGGCTAGAATGATGCAGCACTGTCGCACTATCCTCCCATTGTTCATCGATTTGCTCGAGCTGGCACCAGTAACGTCTCCATTGTGAGACTTGTTGTTACTGTTTTTGGCATATCAAATATGCCACTGGGATCTTGCCAGGCTCTGCCGTGCAGGTGGAATACTCTCAGTAGCTTGCCGGGCTCTCTGAAAGAGACAGAGGAATCGAACCCAGGTCGGCTGCGTACAAGGCAAACACCCTACCTGCTGTGCTATCTGGATCCCATTGCTAGTCAAATGTTACATACTACTTTGAATCATCAGCAATTCTACCATAATATAAGCTCTAAATTCAAATTTCAAAACTTCTAGATTCAGGAACTTTGTGATATAAATCTTTTTATTTTATTATTATTTTTTATGAATGTATTGTGGTTTACAAAGTTGTTTACAATACAGTTTCAGGCCTATAATGTTCCAACACAAATCCTATCACCAGTGTCAACTTCCCTACACCAAAGTACCCAGGTTCTCTCCCAACCTGCCTCCTTAACAAGCACATTTTTAAGTTTGGTCATTGTAGTTTGTATGGGGCTGGAGTGATAGCACAGCGGGTAAAGCGTTTGCTTTGCACAAGGCTGATCTGGGTTCGATTCCTCCGCCCCTCTCGGAGAGCCCAGCAAACTACCGAGAGTATCCCGCCTACACAGCAGAGCCTGGCAAGCTCCCCGTGGCGTATTTGATATGCCAAATACAGTAATAACAAGTCTCACAATGGAGACTGAACAACGGGAGGACAGTGCTACAGTGCTATTGTAGTTTGTATACAGGTGTATCATTTATAAACTTTTATGTCCAGCCCACAAATTCTTTACATCTTAAGAAATAGGTATCATATACAGCAGGCTCATTTCAGTGTTTTGGTAACAAAAGAATAGGGAAAATATTAAAAAGAGTTACAAGCTAGAGATTTATGGTTGTTGGGAACAGGAAAGCTTTGGGGAAATAAGTTTATCTCACAGATGATTCTATGATAGAGAGAATTCCAGGGAACATGACAATCTGTTCCTCTGAAATAAATATAATTCTTCATAGAAACATCAAAATTAATGAAAACTGGGAATATTACTCAGTTATTGTTTTCAACACTTCAAATTATACACTTACTAAAAGATTTTGTATGGAAATACTGACTTATCCTCTTAAAAACAAGGACTAATAATATGGAGATCTGCTATAAAACAAAAGCATATATTTCAACTTACAAAACTTCAATTGTATATTTGCTCTCTCACCCATAGACTCTAATTCTGGAAATTTACCTTACAGATATACTTCATACATAAAGATAATGGTTTTAAAGATTATTCATTAAGCATTTTTGTAATAGTGAACTATTAGATAGAAAGTAATATATATCATGAAAAGCAGTAATTTAAACTGTAATGCAAATACTAACAATAAATGGAGTTCTAAGATTCTCCTTGATAAACAAATCATAAATGTATTATATGTTACATACATATTTTTACTGAAGTAAAAATAAAATCAGGGCTTTATTTCTATATTAATAAATATAATGTTAATATATTAAAGTGTTACTGTGTTTACAGACACACATATATATTATATATATACATACATACATATATATATATATGTATGTATGTATAGTGCTGAGTGTGAAAATCAGGATCGTATTCCCAAGAAGCGCTTTATCACTGTTCTTTCCATACAAGTAAATCTCCAATATATAATGTTAAGAATAGGACCAGGGATATGATTCAGTGGTAGAATTCAGTGGTAGAGACCCTGGGTATAAAACCTGGACTGAAAAAAAAAAAACCAAGAATATGGGCTAAAGAAATAGTTCAAAGGGATGGAATTCAAGCCTTGTACACACAAGACCCTTAGTTCAATCCCCAGTGTGCATTATTCACAAGCACTACTACAGTGAGGCCCAAGTAGTACCAGTAGATCTGGGCAGAGCTCACAAGTAACCCTGGAGGGCCCATGGGAACTACTTGAGACAGCCCCATAACAAACACTCTTATAAGAGAAATAAAAATAAGATTACAACACAACACACACAGTCCTCCCATTGTTCTTGGATTTGCTCCAGCAGGCCCAGTAACGTCTCCATTTTGAGACTTGTTGTTACTGTGTTTGGCATATTGAATACATCACGGGTAACTTGCCAGGCTTTGCTGCGCGAGCAAGATACCCTCAGTAGCTTGCCGAGCTCTCCGAGAGGGGTGGAGGAACAGAACCTGATTCAGCTGGGCTGGGTGCACGCAAGGCAAACGCCCTACCCACTGTGCTATCGCTCCAGACAAATAAAAAAGATGCAAGCCTTCTAAAAAATTCTTTTTAAAACCTAACATAATAATGTTTTCTCTAGGCATCTGAAAGAAGGAAACAAGGAAAAATGGGAGAGGAGACAATACATATTTTTTTGCATTTGAACCAAAGAGTTAAAAATTCTAAAATCTGTCAAAGAGTTACATGGTTCACCTAAGATCTGAGTATTATCCTTCTAACATAGGATATTAAGAAAGACTTACCCTGAATCCATTTTGGACCATCGTTCAGAAAGATGTAGAGCTGAAGAACAAGTTGTGGACAACCTTCCATGTAGGTTTCAAATAACCTGAGCATGCTCAAATCAGTCACTCTGTTTATAACTTCTTTAAGAGGATCAATTTGCTCTCCAATAAATGTGTCAGTTTTGCGGCTACGTTTCACCACATGATAACCATTTTTCAATGCAAACCAATATCTGCAAATATAAACATGAATGTAATGATGTAATACATTCTTTTATAAATATATGTTAACATGCATCAGAGGTTCCCAAGTTTAAGTCTACCTTCTTGAAGTAAACAAACAGAAAGTGTCCCCCAACTGTACCAAGGCTAGTACAATCCACCCTATATCATTCCAGCACCCCTTCCCCTCGGTGGCATCAACCACTCTGGGAAACATTGATATAGACAATAATCTTAAGAAAAGCAGTATGTATTTAGGTGTATAATTTCCTGCTAGAAGCTTATTCTACCTCCCACAAAATTTCTCTCAACTCTGTGAACATCTCCTACTGGCTTTATTGAGATTCTAACTCCATAAAACTCTGTTGCATGCTTAATGTGAGACATGTATGCTTAAACTTTTAAACCACATAATCTCTTTTTATCATCACGATAGTAATATGAGATAAACAGGTACTATTTCCATTTCACAGACAGGAAAACTAAGGCTAAAAATAATGGCAATCTGCTGAAAGTACACACAGAAAAAGGGAGCACACTAGAAACTAAATCCAGACACTCTGATTCCTATTCTCAGCCACAACAACTATAATATCAACTAATCTATTCTGTAGGAAAATGCACCCATGATTCAAATATCAAATTTTTCTATAAAACAGCCTTAAAAATTTGCCCATTTAAATTAAATGTTTTTCCTTTTTCTAATAATTTTGGCACTGTGATTTACATGGTCCCCACTTTCAATGACCAGTCTACCTAAATTATTATACAGATTCAATATGATCCCATATCAAAGTGCTTACTGAGAAGTCAGCCCTGTGTTTACTATACTTGCTCCAATACCTCAAACGGCAGTTTTAAAAAGACAAATCACATGAAAATATTGTGAAAATCATAAATCCCACAAATTTATTGGCATTTGTTATTAAAATTATTTATCAATAAATAATGCCTGGGAACTTTTTAATACCTCAAGTAATTGCTCTGAACTTGATGCTTTTTAATAGGATAGAATCAGAAAGCTATTAAAATACTCAAGTTAAAAATAAAAAACCTAACCTTAAAAAATGGGGCAACAAAATGAACAGAAACTTCCTCAAAGAAGAGATTCGAATGGCTAAAAGGCACATGAGAAAAATGCTCTACATCATTAATGATCAGGGAGATGCAGATCAAAACAACAATGAGATATCTCATACCATAGAGACTGGCCCACATCCAAAAGAACAAAAGCAACCAGTGTTGGTGCGGATGTGGCGAGAAAGGGACCCTCCTTCATTGCTGGTGGGAATGCCAACTGGTTCAGCCCTTTTGGAAAACAGTATGGACAATTCTCAAAAAAATTAGAAATTGAGCTCCATTTCTAATTTGACCCAGCAATACCAATCCTGGTAATATATACCACAGAAGCAAAAAAGTATAGTCAAAGTGACATCTGCACTTGTTTGTTCATTGCAGCACTCTTTACAATAGCCAGAATCTGGAAAAAACCTGAGTGCCCAAGAGCAGATGATTGGTTAAAGAAACTTTGGTATATCTTCACAATGGAGTACTATGTAGCTGTTAGAAAAGATGAAGTCATGAAATTTACATACAAGTGGTACTACATGGAAAGTATCATGCTAAGCAAAATAAGTCAGAAAGAGAGGGACACACATAGAAAGACTGCGTTCATCTGGGGAACATAAAGTAACAAAATAAGAGACTAACACCCAAGAATAGCCGAGATAAGTACCGGGAGCTTTTCTCCATGGCTTGGAGGCCAGCTGCACATGCTAGGGGAAAAGGCAGCTCAGATAGAGAAGGGAGCACCAAATAAAGGGTGTTGGGAAGATCCTCCCAGGATGGGAGATGCACGCTGAAAGTAGACTATAGACCGTACATGATTGCCACTCAATGCTTCTTTTGCAGACCACAACACCCAAAAAGAGAGAGAGAACAAAAGGGCATGCCCTGCCACAGAGGAAGGGTAGGATGGCGGGATGGGGGGTGGGAGGAATACTGGGATCAGTGGTGGTGGAGAATGGGCACTGGTGGAGGAATGGGTACTTGATCACTGTATAACTGAAACCCAAGAACAAAATTTTCTAAGTCTACAACTGTACCTCATGGTGTTTCACTAATAAAAATTAAAAAGAAAATTAAAAAAAAACTTAATCACAGATAAAAAAAGGTATGTATATATGTATATATATAAAATAAAATTTAATTAGTTAGGTAAGTTAAAACACTCCATTAATGAAGTAGGAAAATTCTTTTATTAAAGCAATGACACATAAGTACTGAGCCTGTGGAACCAGTAACCTTTGTCCTATATGGAAATTGGTGACCTTTGTACATTTGACTACCCAGCCACATAAAGGAAGTATCTATTTATATAAAAGAAAAGGAGTATTAATAATAAAAAGTGTATGCTCACCTTACAAAAACTCCTCCTTGCAAGCAATGAAGTAGAAAAAAATAATGCTGATCTTCTTGGCCTGTTCTCTTTAAATCAGACTTAAACCAAGAATAACTAAAACACTGGACAACGAGTGCTCCAAAAAGCATAAAGCCTACCATTAAAATACCATAAACTAAGTCTCCTTCATAGAAAAACTTGACAGAAACATAGATATCTATGATTAAATCAAGTACATAGATTACGATGCCAGCAACAGATAGTGCATAATTCCTTTTGGTATACTTCATTCTGAATCACTTTAACTAGTAGTTTTTACTTTTTTTCTCAATCAAACAGAAAAGAAAAAAACAGAATAAATATTAGTATAACTTTAGTATAGCAACAAAATTTAATTTCTACTTCCTAAATCTATTTATAAAAAATTATAAGTTTTGTTAAACTAGAACACCAAAGCCATGTGATTAACTTTAATTATTTTCTAAGCCTCTAATCTAGGTCCAGTATTAGAAGGCTTTATTCAATCTTCTGTTTCACAATGATCTTCATTAATATGAAAAAACCTAAAATAAAACATATAAGAAAAGATTATAAAACCCTTGAATATACTATTAAATATCCTTAGACTTTCTCAAAGTTCTACATTTTTCTTTTTTTAAAAGTTCTACATTTTTTCACGGTCCTCCCGTTGTTCATCGATTTGCTCGAGCAGGCCCAGTAACGTCTCCATTGGAGACTTTGTTGTTACTGTGTTTGGCATATCGAATACGTCACGGGTAGCTTGCCAGGCTCTGCCGTGCAGGCGAGATACTCTCGGTAGCTTGCCGGGCTCTCCGAGAGGGGTGGAGGAATCGAACTCGGGTCGACCATGTTGGCTGCCTGTAAGGCAAATGCCCTACTGCTAAAAATATTTTCTTATATAATCTTTAGTTAACTAAAATCTTAGAAATATACTAGATAGTAATTTTTAATAAAAAGAATGTACTAACAGATATATTTTATCATAGGACCATTTAAAACTTAAGGCAAAAATGTAGAAACTGAATGTGGCAAGATAAGTACTAGTAAAGTATAGTTAGATCTACAAAACAATGCTGCATAGTTTATCAAAAAAAATTTTATAAAAAGCAAAAGCTATAAAAATTCTTAATTTACTTTGAACCAGCAATTCCATGTGGGAATCAAAACTTGGGAAATACAAGTGCACACAATGACATCTGCTCCTTCCTGAAACTTTATTAACAGCAAAATATTTAAATTAGACGACAATAAAAAGTCTAGTTCAATAAATTATGGTATATCCATTACAATGTATATTATAATATAGAACGTAATATCTATATTATACCATTCAATCTTTTTAAAGAACAAAGTACTTTTACATATGCTATTTTTAGAAAATAGCCAAGATATATAGTAAGCCAGGGAAAAATACCAAGTGTCAAAAGGTTAAAGACTAAATATAACACTTAATTTCTTAATTTTTGGGGGGGAGGGAAGGGAGATAGGAATAGGAAGCAAATGTAATGCCAATCCTTTAATTACCTGGACTTTTATATTGAGTTTTAACAATAGATGTACTCCTATATTACTTAATTTCTCAAATAAATTTTAAAAATTATATTTATAGAGCATTTCAATTATTGAATAAAATTGCTATGCTATACAAAATTTTTGATAGCTAAACTTTATTTAGCACTATATGCCAGGCACTGAACTGAATTTGTATATAGTGTCCCCATTTTATTTTTTTGGTTTTTGGGAAGACCATACCCAACTTTTCTCAGGGTTTAGTCCTGTCTCTATTCTCAGGGCTCACGCCTGTCAATGCTCAGGGGACCACCTAGGGTGCCAGGAATCAGAGCCCCATCAGCTGCATACAAGTTCAATGCCTTATCCACTGTATTATCTGTCCCTGCTTTTCCCATACTTATATATCAAACTTAAAAGATAAATAGTTTTATTGTGATCCCTATTTTATAAATGTGGAATGAAATCAAGTTACAAACAAAATTTTTCAACCTCAAGTGCGTTTCTTATTTTCCTATTTAATTTCAAAACTTCCATGCAAGAACTGAAATTTTTCACTAATATTTAAAAATACAACTTCTACAGTAGTCAGTCATGTCTTATAAGCAACCCCACCTAGATGGCACATGATTTCTCAAGTTCACTACAATTGCCAGCTGCCCTACTTCTGTAATTTCAACAGCTATGTCTCAATTCTAATACATCTATTTTTTCGCTGTGTGTCTTTAAACATGTTATTTGGGACTGGAGATACAGTACAGGGGTTAAGGGTAGACAACATGCTGTTCACCCCAATACTAATTAACAGCACTCATTTTCTTATAAGAAGAGAAATATCCTCAAAAGAGAGCTATAGCCCTCTTCCCATGTCCATGGGTGTGTGTGTGGGGGGGGGGGGGTAGCACCATTAAATCTGAGTTTTTCCAATCTAGCAGGCCATGAATTTTACCAAATATGTTTCACATTTAAAATTTAATAAGATGCCTAATACAAGCATATAATTTAGAAGGATAAGGTTTAATCAAGTAGGTTTTGTTCAACTGGTTCAAATATTTTTTAACTTACCATGTGCTATTTTGGCTCCTGGGAAATATAAAGTGACAAAATAAGACAAAAATCAAACACCCTTTGGAACCTAAAACCTGAGAGAGAAAAAGTCAGATAAGAATTAAAATAATAAATAAGTACATTAAATAGCATGTTATATTAGAAGGTGATAGTAATATAGGAAAAAATACAGCATTGCCTAGCATGATCCAAAAACAAACAAAAAAAGAGTTGTAGTAGAGGTGGGCATATTACAGACTTCAATTTTCATTATAATGGTTTAACAGGCTCACTGATGTGGTATTTGAGTGATTAAAAAAAAACCCATGTGACTGTTGCATGGAAAAGCTTTCCAGGTGGAAAGAACACATAGCTTAAAAATCTGATGCATAAGGGGCTAGAGAGAGAACAACAGGTGCTTGCCTTAACTTGGGTCAACCCAAGTTAAGTCTCCAGCATCCAATATGGTTCTCCAAGCCCTACCAGAAGTGATCCCTGAGTGCAGAGCCATGAGTAAGCCTTGAGGTAGCACTGCACTGTAGCACTGTCTTCCCGTTATTCATCGATTTGCTCGAGCTGGACCAGTAACATCTCCATTGGAGACTTTGTTGTTACTGTGTTTGGCATACCAAATACATCACGGGGAGCTTGCCAGGCTCTGCCGTGCGGGCGAGATACTCTCGGTAGCTTGCCGGGCTCTCCAAGAGGGGCGGAGGAATCGAACTCAGGTCGACCAAGTCGGCCGCGTGCAAGGCAAATGCCCTACCCACTGTTCTATCGCTCCAGCCCTGAGGTATGGCTCAAAAAACAAATCAAACTGAAAAAAAATGTAATGTACAAAACTTTATGCATGGTTTCCAGAAAAGAAAAAAAAAAGCTCCACAAAATAATGACAATGATTCCTTAACGTAGTGGTTTTGGATGTTTAATGTTTATCCAAGTTCTATTGTAATATCAGTCTTTTAAAAGGAATTTCTTAAGCCTTACTAGCTAGGAAAAACTCACTGCATATACAATTGAAAAACACCAAAGAAACTGTTATTAATGAATATAACATGTGAAAAAATTGCATATATTATTTAATTTAACCTATACAACTCCTTGTAAGGGTAACCCAAAGGAGTACCTTTTGGTTCCATTTTATAGATCATAAAATGGAGATTATAAAACAGAGGCTTACATCTGTTGGGTATTTCTCCCAAATGAGTGAAACCATTTTTAATATACAGTTTCTTTTTAAAAAAATAAAGTCTTATTGAAAAAAGAAAAAGAGAAGAGGAGGAGAGGGGAGGAATGGGAAGGTGAGGGAAGGAAGAAAGAAAGAGGAAAGGAAAGAAAACTAATGAAATGAAATGAAAATGTTTTCTTAAAATTATAACTATAAGGGGCTGGAGTGATAGCACAGCGGGTAGGGCATTTGCTTTGCACACGGCGAACCCGGGTTCAATTCTCAGCATCCCATATGGTCACCTGAGCACCGCCAAGAGTGATTCTTGAGTGCAGAGTCAGGAATAATCCCTGTGCATTGCCAGGTGTGACCCAAAAAGCAAAAAAAAAAAAATGTAAGCAGTCCATGTGTTTATCATTCTCCCTACAAAGAAAGATTCCTTTTTCTAGTTTAACAAAGAGAAACATTAGAAGCTTTGAGTCATTTTATAAATGTGAAAAATAATTTCTAAGAAAATCATAATTTTCATTATTGGCAGAACACCTGACTCAATAGACTAAATTTGATATGACAAACTTCTATATTCCTAATTTAGTCTGGTAGACTATAACGCCAATTGGGGGAAAAACCCTACATAACAAGGTAATAAATGCACCAGTGCCCGTAAAGACAGCCTGCAGTTCTTCCTCACAGCTTTATAATGTGTATGAAAGATGGCTGGTCTCTATCCCTACAATTGGTCACCGCCCCAAAACCCCTTTGGAAGAAATGTCACCTAGAAAATTTGACTTAAAAGGTTATTTGTGATACAAACTTAGACAGTTAAAAGGGGTTTTAAAGGTTCTTAAAAGGGTAGATTTAATCTAATTTTGGATATCAAGTAAGCTCTGTGGCTATCTGGCTGGCAGCCAAATATATAACCTTTGCCCACTGTGCTCGACCTCTTCACAATAAAGCAGGTATTTCAAGTCACAAAACCTAGCAAAATCTTCTTTGCCGAACCAAACTTAACACACAAAATAAAGACTTACTTGTCAAATAGAAAATGCCTTCTTAACTCAAAGTCCTTTCTGGAAAATCTTCATCCTGGTACTCTTACATTTTTCCGCCCCTGAAACAGTATAATTAAAGGGTGTGTAAACCTTAAAGATCAAATGCTGAAATGAAACTGAAATCACCTGTTAGTCATATGTGGGATCCTATTCTCTTGCGATAAGAATCTGCAGTGACTAAAGTACTCCTGGTATAATAAACTCACTGGAGAAGAAAATACCATGGCTTTTTAAATAAGATGTCTAGGGCAGTGTCTCTCAAAGGCAGGGACATAAGGCCCTTGGGGAGTCCCCAGAAATTCCAATGGGGTCACAGCTGGAAATTGTATAAACAGAAAGGAATCATGGCACAAGAACAGAGGATCAACAGCTAAGATGAGGCCACAGGAAAGAGCCAAAGGTGGGTACAGGGATCACGGCAAGAAAAAGAGCGGAGAAAGGCTGGTTTAAAGAATAAGCTTTTACATATTTATCAACTAAGTGTTATAAAAATTAAGTTTTCTTCTCAGCACATCCAGTGGACAATAGTCTATATTTGAAAGATAGACCGATTTTGAATTTGAAATACAGAATGTATAAAATATTATTTCATTGCAAATTGTATCTTCTCAAATCTTATGCCTCAAGAAAATAATTGTTGACATCTGTTCCCGAAATAATCACTTTCTTTTATTTCAAAGTATTTGTTCAGGGTTATTTACTTTACGGAAGACTCTTTTACCTCCATATACCCAAAAATTATTGATGGAACCTCATTCTTTAAGGATCAATGCTTAATTGATTTAAAAACTTATCATCCTTTAGTTTTTCAAGATCCTCTCAGATTCTCCTCATCCTCCTTGCATTACCATCACTTTAGCTATTTCGTCTTGAAAACTTCTACATAAATGCTTTGAAATGTGATCATATTTATCTCTTTTCTAATTATGAACCTCTAGAAAGGCATCATTATTATGCATTTTTAATATCCACCAATATCGTCTATAATCTGCAGTTTGTAAGCAGGTAAGTGCCTGTAATTAACAAAACGTAAAAATCTTCAGTCATATTTCTTGAAGAATATAAAATTCAAGTCACATTGCTATCTGAAAAGACTCAGTGTTTTCCCTAACCTTGATTTTTCATCTGAGCTCAACCTGTATGGTGAACGGCATATAGATTTCTTTGCTGAGAGATATGAAAATTATCTCAATTTCAACTTGTCTAAACCAATACACTCCCTAATCCTGCTTTTGTACTAGCATCTTCTTATATGAATCAACTCTTCTAAATCATTTGGCGGTCTAATTCTTGTCTAGTGAAAAGCCTGACAATGGATTCAGTGAAATCAAGATGAAAGGCTCAGAACTAATAGTTCTGACTGCTAAGATATGTGAGACTAGAGCTCCCCACCAGTCTCAATAAAGATCATTATGGTCCAGAAATAAACTGTTCCATCATCTTCTCAAAAGTTTGCTGAATTTTCAGCAGAGTTCTGACAAAGGGAACATTGAGGTACTTTCCTGTCTGAATCATCGTTCACTAATATCACAAATATCAGTAGTTGAAAATGCCTGATGAAGGTTATTTTTAAGGTTATTCCAGGCATTTTTTATTTATTTTGGGGTTTGGGACCACATTCAGAGATGTTCAGGGTTTTCTCCTGACTCTGTATTCAGGAATTATTCCTGATGGAGTTTGGGGCCCCACATGGGGTACTGGGTATCTAAACCAGGTAGACTTCATGAAAGCAAGCACCCCATACGCTGCACTACCTCTCCAGCCCCTCCAAGCACTTTTTAAAGGGCATATTGCTTGCCTCCCACAGCAAAGGGTGTATCATTTACAAGATTATTTCAGCAAAGGTGTTTGAAATACCTTTTAACTAAAATGTGCATCTCTGAAACACTAAGCAAAGAACTTCACACATACATCAGATGTCTTTCAGGAAATCTGGACATTCAAACTGCAGTAAACTATTTCTTTTACAAACAGCATACAATCTGTTCTGCAGAAATAGTTACAGAACTTTTAAATATTTGTATAGAGCTAGGGGCATAGCTTCCCGATAAACACATATGTCACATATGTGAGGCCCTAGGTTCAATGCTCCGTATTACAATAAGCCAAGAAATGAGTATCTGTCCTAAATTTTAGAGCTGCATCTAATGGGCCCATCTTCTTTGTTTCATAAAGAGCTGGGCTCAGATAATGCTGCATAGCTTCTGGGATTGTAGTTACACTTCCACTGTCCCAAGTGGATGAAAATGGCCATAGGGCCTTTTAGGTAACGTTACTCCAATTCTTTTTTCCCCATGGGAAATCAGAATACTCCTGAGAGTTAATGCTTAGCAAGTTAAAAATGGTTTGAGACGAGCCATGTTTTTTGTTATCCATTTTCTTGTTCATTTTTATGGGTAGTTTTGTGTCTTACATTATTAGACTTAAGCCATTAAAATTCAAACATAGTGAGGATGAAAAGAATACCGGGATGAAGAGCCCTCCCTGCCTTGCACCTCGGACTAGCAGCATTTGGTACCCCAGCAACGGCCAGGGGTCACTCCTGAGCCAGGAACAGCTGAGGATCACCCCGGGATATGGCTCAACAAGCCTTTTTAAAAACTTGCATTTAAACATATGAACAATTTAATAGGTTACTAACGTTTTTATATACATTCTTTCCAAGAGCAAAATAAGACGTTTCTAAGCCCTCCACGCCGACAGCCTGGGTCCCCGCGGCAGACCGGGAGCGAGGAGGTAGAATCAAGACCCTCACTCGCCACTGAGGCAAGTCTTGGTGCTCGGATCTACGAAAAACGGGCTTAAGAGGGGGTCAGGAAGAGTCACGAGGCGGAGCCCAGCAATAAGCAGCACGGAAACCTTGGTTACCACCACTGGCGACGGAGGAAAAAAAACCTAGTTCCGATCCTCCACACAGCCCCGCCACTGCCCTGAGCAACCGGCCAGCTCTGGGACTCGGTGACTGACCCCTGCCCCGCTGTCCCTCTGCTGCATCCCAGGGCTCCCCTGGCCAGAGAGTGTCTCTCCACGAGGATGAACTCGCCTGCCTGGGCAAAACCGTTCCAGTGGAAGCCACCGAATCGCTGTGACAGGGGACAGCGCCTCCCGGGCTCGAAGCCAGCCTCGCCTCCAGACTCCCAGCGCGGCCGCCCGCGAAGCCCGTGCGGCGTCACGTGAGCCCTCTGGGCCCTACCCCCCCCCCCCCGGCACGCCCCAAGCGGCCCCCGCTTCCGCTCGGCTGCTGAAGCCACGCCCCCTGACCCGTAGCCACGCCCCCTCGGGTTTCCTTGCTCCTTCCGCGCTGGGGTCACTCGGTTCAGCTGCGCGCCGGCGGGCACTGGGGGCGTCATGACCGCTACGCTGCAGCGCATCGAGCGCCTGTCTGGCCGAGTCGTGCGCGTCCTGGGCTGTAACCCGGGTCCCATGACGTTGCAGGGCACCAACACCTATCTGGTGGGGACCGGTCCCAGGTAAACGTCCCTCCTCCTCCCACCCAGCACCCACGCCCCGGGGGTGTGGGGGAAGGGTCTCAGACGACTGTTCGCCCACGGCCCCGCCAGGCTCGGGACCTCCCCTCAGAGACTCGCCCCCAGTGGGGCCCGCGCTGACTTCTGAGGGAGAGAGAATGGGGGCAAATGGGCTTGTCCTAGAGTCGCGTTTACTTTGCGGGACGCAGAAAGGCTGCGGTGATTGCGCTCATGCTTTGCCCCGAGCCGAACTTCCTCCTCAGAGCCGGTTTCTGGGTCCTCTCGGATCTGTTTCTTCGCCAGGCGGCAGAGGGCGGGATTTTCTTCCCAATCGCTCCAACGTGCATGACCTCAGGGGAACTGATTCCTGGGTGGATGGTTGCCTGACCTTATTCAAGTTATTCCGCGCGCCCAGAACGCTGCCTGCCTCACAGGCGATTTTTCTTTGTTCGTCTTGCATTGTATCTCGAAACGATTCAGAAAGGGGTTGCAGTTCGTTGGCACGATGCGTGACTTTGGGTTTTCGTATAGCTAATACAAAAGTTAAAAGTAAGATCGTGCTCATTGAGTTTAGAATTCAGTTGTGCCCCACCCCCACCCCCATCAACACTTGTTGCAGTTAATCCCAGATAGCTGATGTTTTTGGTTCTTTAAAGAAGTGCAACTCTATTTGCCTTTTACTGGTACGTTAGGATTTTGAAGAACTGCAAGTTCCTCTCAAGCAAACAAAGCTAAAGTCCAGAATCAAGAAAGAATTGGGCCAAGAATTTTGGGCTAGCTCCAGAATGTTTTAAGAGAATTAGGGATTGGAGGAATAAGTAACTAGGTGGTGTCAAGGACCTTGTCCGTTTTGGCTGGCAGTCCCTCACGGTTCAGTGCTCCTCAATGAGTTATCTAAACTAGTTCTACAGTCAGTACCTGGATGAAAATGCATACAGTCAAAAGTATCCTGGGAACTTTCTTAGAAAATCGAAATGTCAAAGACCCCTGTCAGGATCAGAGAGAGCACAGCTTTTTTTTTTTTAATTTTTATTAGTGAAACACCATGAGGTACAGTTGTAGCCTGACAAATTTTTGTGCTTGGGTTTCGATTATACAATGATCAAATACCCATCCCTCCACCAGTGCCCATTTCCTACCACCACAGATCCCAGTATCCCGCCCACCCCCATCCCCCCCATCCCACCCTGCCTCTGTGGCAGGGCATTCCCTTTTGTTCTCTCCCTCCTTTTGGGTATTGAGGTCTGCAAGAGAGCACAGCTTTTAAAGCAAGTGCCTTGCAAGGTTCCAACCAGGGTCTATCCTTGGCATTAGGCACCATTCCTGGCAGTCGCTAGAATTGATCCCTGAATGTGGTAGGTTTGGCCCCCGAACCAAAAACAAACCCCAAAAATCAATGCAGTATCCTCTTGGTGCAGCATAGCCTGCTTCTTTTCTAGCCGGACGGAGTCAGTGAGGGTCTCCATTCAGGAGAAATCACTGGACCTCTTATCTATATATCTAATGCTTCCTAGCATTGCCTTTTGCTGAGATTTTTTTTCTTCTTAGTCACTAAATTTTTATTTAAGTCATACTGTTGTGGTTTCCTATCCTCT